CAGCCAATGCGTTATCACGGACCGATTTCGCTGCTTCTTTGAATTCCACTGAATTCCACTGCATGGCCTGTTGTGTCACTCTGGAGTTAAGCGGCTGTACCATTTCGTGCGTTCCAAAACTCTTCCATTTTCGTTGAAGCTATCAAGGTTGTCATCTCAAGATACAAGTTGCGCGCCGAATTAAACCCCGTTTTTACAAGCCACTAAATGGCAAACTAATTAAATCCACAGCTACATTCGAGAGCCTTAGCATAGGTTTTAAAGGTGCCATTCCGTCCACGTCATATAACCGATTCTTGTTAACAATAATTGCTGAGTATTCTCGATTTTCATTTTCATTCCCTTGCCTAAACATGTCCACACATACGGTAATCCACTGTTTGGCTTACATATTTTCGCTGTTCGGAATTCCGTCATGTATTCATTCCAATTGAGGGGTCTCATTTGTCCGACGAATTGAAAACATTCCCTCACAGTAAAGACAGCCACCAGCCGGTTGACAGCTTGCCATCCACAAGGCAATGGTCAAGTAGGGCGTCTCAACGCCACCTTGTGGAAGGCAATCGTTTTAACTCCAAAGGTCTCCCCAACACCCAATGGGAAACTACTGGATGCGTTCCATTCTCTCCGATTGCTGTTATGCCCCGCGACCAATGCCACACCCCACGAACGGATGTTTTCATTTAATCTCAGTTCAACCACTGGTATTTCGTTGCCAAGTTGCTTGTTTTCACCGGGTCCGGTACTTATGCTCAAGAACTACCGAGCCTCGAAGTACCATTCTGTTGTGGAAGAGGTACAGCTACTAGAGTGCAATCCGTTTGATGTTCTTGTGCGCTTAACTTCCGGACGTGAGGAAACACTCTCGTTGCAGCATTTGTCTCCTCGTGGGGATCAAACGTGTGTTTCTAGTGAAATTCATGACAGAACCAAATCTGAATACGAACTTGTGCAGCCAACCAGTGTAAGCCCATCGGAGCCTTTCGAGCCATCTACATCTTCCAACTCATCTACTGAACCCACTCACCCCTGAACAAATTGACAGCCATTGTATTCTAGACCACAACGCGCAGCATTACTTATACAGACAATAACGTGTACATGCTAATGAATTGCGTTACCATGATGCGTCACACTGTATTGTTTATGCACAACCATCGTTTTCACCTCGGGGAGAATGTTAATACATTGTCGTGTGTTTGTCCTGCATTTGCTATACCTGCATTATTTTCTATACATACCGTCTTGCTTTATAACTCATGCTCTGATTCTCAGATGAGTAAAGCCTTATGAATCGAACCTTCGTCTTGTTCCCTGTCAGAACCGACGAGCTCGCTTACTACTCACTCATATCAGCGGATTCATCATCAGCGTTGTAAGCTACGATTGGAATCGATGACAAACTTATGTGCTTGTTTCTGAGCTAACTCTATGTACTTGATCAAAAGCAGGCTGTATTTTTAAGCTTTTATGCTCCAACAGTCTTTATCTTATGGAATTGGATAATTGCCCACTGACAAATAGATCGCTGATTGTATACTCTTGGTTTTGCTCAGCACTCACTTATTAAAAATTACAGTCTAGCAGGTGCTCGAAGTCACTGTATGAACTAATCGAGGTTTTCGGTTAATCCTTGTTTGCAGATAACTAATAGATGATGTGCCAATAGTTCATTCTTTGGTTGCACATCGAGTGATTCGAGAGTGCTGATTGCAGATTCGTATGAAGAACACAGTGGGTGGGAGAGTGCAACTGTTTTTAGCTTGTGAGGTTTGTGTGAATCAATAATGACCAAGATGTCAGTAAATGTAAAAAAGTGTTCCCGTGTTTGTTACCTCGGAAGCCTTTGGGTCCGTGTCAAAGCATTCGGTTCGCAGAAGCCGATTCATTTCCAGATGACTAAATTGTTGTGAGGTTGAGTTGGATCCACCAAACAGATAGAACGAATGTCGATTGAGAAGACGTAGGTCTGAGCGATAGGCTTTAATCATCTGTTAACTTCAGTACACGAACTACAATAGAACAACCGATGGATTATAACCCCAAATAGAAAAACTATAGTTTACGATAGCACAGAAGCAGTAACAACCTAGGTTCGAATCAGAGGTCCTTACGAAGCTTGTGTTCATCAACGACAAAACCACCCACGTAGCAGTTGACGTCGTCAATGTTAACGAGAGCACGACAATAACAATCATCAATGCCTGAAGGCGAGAAGCTATCAATACTCATCACAAATGTGGAGGAAACAACAAGGAGACGCTGACTCCCGATGTACTGTAGCGCGTTGAAAAGACCATTAAACGACATTCCGAGGACACTTTAGTGCAGCTGCAGCAGCGGCTGAGAGAACGAGATCCACTTTTCCGTGTCTACAGTTCTCAGCGCTTTCAGAAGACTCAAGATTACGCTCCATTGCTATTACCAGCTAGACCGCGTCAACTGTGCAACGACAATCGCAACCTGACGGGCCTACGCTCTCGACTTATCGATACATGCAGCGATGACGAGAGATAATGACTCTTCGTAAGTGAAGGCGAGTTTCATCCGCCTGTAGCGAAAGCGGGCTCGCTCAAGCAGAGGAACTCACACGAACGTCCTCTTGTCCAAAATCAAGGTCCGCATGGTGGCGCTGTGGCAATGAATAACCAAGGCATCGTTCACTTAAAGACCATCAACGGTGACACCTGCAATGGTGCGAAGTTCTCGATGTTCGTCGAGGAACTTGTGGTGCCTATATGTTGCAGAGTGGAGAAGAATGGTGCATGACTGATCAACACCAGGATCCACATTCCGGATGATCTTAGGTGGATCCTAGGCTCGTCATATAAGCTGAAGTTCTTGTCGCCCTACTAATTTATGTGAAACCCAGTAGAAAACGTATTTTCGTAAGCCAAAGCTTCGGCAAAACGCCTGCTGACCAACCCAATACCTGATCAGAGGCTAAGTGCAAAGCATCAGCAGTACGCCGGTACGCAGTACTGACACTTCGCTGCCGCGCAACTACCGATCGCACGTGGGCTAAGAAGAATGCGAATGTCGCCCGTTCCCTACGCAAGCTCGAATCCGCACTCACAAATTACAAGGTGGGCTTGTGATCCCTTAAGCTACAGGCCGGCTGTGCGGTCATTCAAGAGAGCGTTGACATGGTAATCCAGTAAAACTGCACGAACTACGTCCTCAGTAAAATGCTGTACTTGACAAACGCCGCAGCCGGACAGCCTTACACTAACCGTCTCTAAAAATACTGTTTTTAAAACAGGTGTTTTACAAACCAAATTACCGATAAGTCGAGAGCGTATGTCCGCCAGATTACGATTGTCGTGGCACTGTTGACGCGGTCTAGCTCGTACTGGCATTTGAGCGTAATCCTGAACATTCTGAAGGCATTGCAGACACCCGACACGGAAAGGTGGATTCCGTTCTATCAGCTGCTGCTGCAGCTGTACAAAATTGTCCTTGGAATGCCATTTAACGGCCTCTACAACGCGCTGCAGAACATCAGGTGTCAGCCTCTGCATGTTGTTTAATCGACCTTTCTGATGAGTCAGTTGCAACGAGACTGGACTAGGTGCGACAGTGCGTACCTCCTTGACCCATTGAGCTGCGCTGGGTGGTGTCTCCGGGCCCCTTGAGTGCTACTCCTATGAGGTTGGTCAATGATTAGCCAAACAAACTCAGTCTCAAGGTTGGTGGTTTGAAATTGAATGGCGTCGATTTCTGTAAAACTAAATCCTTTCCGCTGCCTTGCGGACAGGATTTTGAGCCAAAGGTTTTAGATGTAGACCCTTATTGTCATTCTCTTGCGGTATGGGCGCCGTGGCAATATCTCAGTCCACATACAATCATGACCATTTCCCTAAACTCCAACTACATCCTACATTGGCGGTCACCGATTATCAACGATCGCCTTATCTTCTACCTACAGCAGCAGATAAGCGAAAGCATGCTACTGGTGACACCTTTCTTTCCCACCTGTTTTTCTTACTGCTATCCCAACCCGCATTACTAACCTCCCTTCTATAATTCCCAACTTAATTGACAGCAACCGAAGTGCCATTGAAGTAGGGCCATTTGCAGCCTATCGTCAGCAGCCCTTTATAGGGCCACGCTGTCCAGTTTCATTGGCGGCGTTCAACCTTTGCACTCCAAAACAAATAGGTCAAGGGGTTGCACTCGCACACACGTTGGATACGCTGGGTATTGATGTTTTGTGTGTCCGAAACTAGGATCAATGACCCTACTGGGGTTGTTGAATCAACTGCACTCGACTTGTCCTCTCGCTATTGGTTGCGCGCATTTTGCAACGCGGATGCAACACTTACGGGTCAAGATGGTCTAAGTATAATTCCAAGCTCCAACGCTGAGCCATTCTTAGTTGATTTGATTCCGGTGGACTGCCGTCTGTGCGCTAAGGTTTATACACGAAGTAGTACAAAACTGTGTGATTTTCGCTTATGGTCCCACCGACTGCAGTTCTGATGCTGCCAAGGACACATTCTATCACGAGCTGAACGCGCTACTACGCAATGCTACTAGTTCAGGTAGTATAGTACTTGCAGGAGATATTAACGCACAAATCGGGTGTCAGCTCTTCAGAAGCTTAGCTTGGCGGTAATTATGGTCTTAACTCCCTGCGGATCCCGTTAGTTCTCTTAGTAAGTGACCGATCACGATTTTTTGAAGCTGTTCACTTGCTTATCTGGTGTGAAACTAAAAGCCGCAAACTACAGATTTTATGTGTGCACATCGGCCTTATCCGTGTTTCCTTTTTCTTTACAACATACCTTTTATTGTACTATTTGCTTTCTTTATAATCTCATTAATTCATTGCGCTGACACAGAACACACTTAGAAGCCAAGCTCTGTTGTCCATCTATGCTAGTCACCTCATTTCGGTGTTTTCTGGAGTAGGATATACGTTCAGACACTGGGGCCATCAGTTTATTTGTGTAAATGCTTTTTTATGAGCTCTGAAATGATTTCTACCTTATTTTGTAGCTTATGACTGCTGGTAAGAAAACTTATGCGGTGATACGTGCCGTATATAATAACCATCATGCCCCTGACGATTTCGAACGTGAACTGGATTTTGTGCTCAGTCGGAAGGTTGCAATGGTAATCATAGAGCCTGAGTCGCTTGGTGAAATCACGTGGCGGTGGATTCGAACAGGGAACTGGCTACACAAATCAGCTGTTATTTGTGGTGAGTTATGTCTCCATCATTTCGCCTGTTTCTATTCCACTCAGCACTGTCGTTGTCCTCACCTCAACGTGCTAACTATAAGTTTCAGCAAATGAGTTTCTAGTGCCCCGAACTTCGTGGTTTTTCCCATAACTATCGCATATACGCTACATCTATATTGCCGGTATATATTCCGTTTTACATATTCTGCTATTGATTATCAATCCCACTACAGCATCGTCCAGCTATTGCCTTTCTCTCCGGTGACTGAGTGGTCTGCACGCCTAGCTTGCAATCATAAGGTCACCGGTTCGAATCCCCCTAGGAGCTGGCGCTCGCGGTATACCTAGCCCACTCGCGACTGGTGGTGGTCGCGCGGCAGTGAAGCGCCGTTACGGGGAACAGTTGACGGTTTATTTGGCCGGCCGGTAGCCTAACGGTAACGAGCTTGTAATCTGGCGACGTTAGTTTGAGCCTGCGTAGGGGCAGGGCGACCCTGGCAGTATCCTTAACCCACGTGCGACCGGTGGTGGTTGCGCGGCGGTGAAGCGTCGGTACTTCGCACAGCATACTGCTGATGCTTTTCTTTCTTTCTTTTCTTCCCCACCTGCAGTAACTCAAATTACTACTTACTGAGGTCGGCTGCTAAGCTGTTGGTTTACTCACCGTACTGGGCTATACTGTTCCATATGTTTGTCCATCAATTACGATAACATCAGCGCGTAATATTAGAAATCCAAATCCGGATTTGTCTACATAATATCCTTTCCTGGCCGAAGCTACTTGGTATTTTGCAATGAAGGTATTACTTTGCTCGGTGGTGACACGCATGCAGTCGTTCAGTTAGGAGACAATTAGCATCCGGGCACCGAAGTGCGGCTGCTCCAGTTATTGCGGTCCGCATCACTTGGGGAGGTCAAGCAGGACATATTGGAGTTTTGGAAAAAGTGCGTGACATCAGTCGAAGCGTATTGTTGACAGTTAGGCGTAATCAGCCGAATACAGGAGCATTACTGAGGGCTCAACCGTACCACGTCGGATAGGTTTTCTAACCACTGATGTGGCCCCTACCCAGGTCCCCATTTACGAAGACAGTACACACCAGCCCATGAAGTCTCTTCACGCGTCATGTCATGTCATGTTATGCCATGTCCAGTTATATGCAGTGACAGAATATGATGAACGTCGAGGAAGGTAGTCAGCGGCTATAAAAAAGACATGACTCGGCCATCTCAGTCAATTCAGCTTTATCCTGCATTTCCGAGCAGCACCATAGGATTAGTTTGTACATGCTCACTTAGTGCTCCCTAAGATGTCATCATCATCATTATACACGTTAGCTGCAGTCAGAAAACACCTCAGCTATTGTGCCGTAATAAATTAGAAAAGGGAAGAAAATATGCAACATAGGCACACTGGCTGTCATCCGTAACGGATGGACATCGTTCCGGAGAGCTAACACCTGGCTGTTTGCCGTAAAAAGTTATATTATGCCTAATAAATGTGATCGTGGTTGATAGGGTAGGCTAAGCGGGAGGGTAGGGACAAAGAAACTCACAACCAAACGCCACTGAGGTTAGCTTCTGTTCATGTCAACAAGTATATCTAGCCAAACGTGTTCATCTTCCTTCGGTACCTAACCAAGGAGTCTGGAGACTACAACCGAGACCAACTTCGAAGTAAGAATCTGCAATCCTCGACCAACTCATCACTTGGCCACCTCTCTTCTCCCATCCGCACCCCGGGCACGCAAACAACGCACGTCGCTGAAGTCGGTGGACCGGCATGCGTGACACGTGGCCGAGCCATTGGACGCTGGTGCGTGAATTAACGGTGCTGAGTTGTTCGTTACTTCTTCCTACGTCATAAACAAGGCACCGAACACGCTCATTGCTCACGCGGTGTTACCACGAGATATGAGCCAGGCTGCGAAAGTACCGCTGATCTCCTGATCCAATGGGCCAGGTTTCACAACCATATAGTCAGGTCGAATGTACGGCTGCATTGTACACTACTCTTCCCACCATAGGTTGTGAAGGTTAGCAAAAGCGCATTGAGTTTTTGCTATACGGTTCTTGATCACGTCTTGAATCCCATGGGCCCTGATACAACTTCTCAGGTCGTTGGTCTTTTGAGGGACTTCTTGCGGATCCTCACCAATGGTCAGCGCAAGAGACGGTCCCTGCCAATTTTGGAGGAAAGCTTTGCATTTTGAGGGTACAAAGCATAGCCCGAAACGATTGACAGCCAGTACTAATCTGTCCAGTGCCGCTTGGGACCTTTGGGAGCTGTCACAGATGTGGGCAATATCGTCAGTTTCACACCTTATAAGTTGTATCCTGTGAATGTGATCTCCATGACTGTCGATGGCGGTTGAAGAGAAACTGTAACAGCAGGCATCCTTGTCTTGCACCGCTGGAGCTAGTGTAGAGCGGCGACATCTTGCCGTAAGCGCTCACTCTGCTCGAGCTACTCGCCTAAAGCGCTCGCACAATATTTACATACTTTTCAGGCACCTCTTTCCTTAGCAGACAGTCCCAAAAGGCACCTCGGTCCACCGAATCGAAGGCATCTTTGATATCGACCAACACGCAAACCTTGGGCCGCTAATATATGTGACGGTGCTTCAGCTACTGACGCAATGTGAAAATGTGATCGATGCAGCCTCGACGTCGACGGAACCCTGCTTGATCCTCACGCATCTGTCCTTGACGATTGCTAGTCAATCTGTGAAGGATGACAGAAGCAAGCAGTGTGAGGACGATGAAGATCGGACTGATTTCTTTATGATTGCAGCATTCCCATCCTGAGTCTCCATTGAAAATTAGGACTATAACGGAGCGCCTCCAGTCTTTTGGGACCGTTTCCTGTTCCCACAGTTTCACTAGTAACTCGTAAATCATCCACAAGAGCAGGTCCCCGAATTTGAAGAGGGCTTGAGGAAGATCATCTGGTCCCACGGCTTTATTGTAACTTCAGCAGTCCGATCTAAAGTTCGCCTTCTGGACGAGATGTTGGATCCAGAGGGACAGCCCAGGGAGCAGGGCGATCACTGGCCAGTGTGGAATCTAACAATTCCGATCGATTAAATTGTTTTTCAAAACGCTCAGACCAACGCTTCAAGCATTTTGAAAAGTTGTGGATTGGCTATCACTCTCTTCATAAATAGTTTCACTAACACCAGGTCTCCTGTTGCCCATTTCCCGTATCAGATGCAATAACTAATGGTGGTTCCCAAGGGCAGTGGCCACTTCCATCTCTGACACACGATGAGACCACCAGAATTCGCGGTCTCTCTTCAGGCTAGCAGGAATTCTGCTGGAATTTTCTGCGGTTCTCATTGTGTTCGCTTTCAGCAGAAATGTGCCGGCGAGCATCGATAAGTTTTAGAAACTACGAAGACCATTGTTCATGTCAGCTATTAGATTCACTATATGAGGGTTTCTCAGCTGCTAGTAAGGTCTGGTGAACATGCCATCAGTGACCTTCAACTGTATTCAGTGAGCGCTTGCTCAACCCGGACGCCAGCGTAATTCGATACGCATTCAGAACACTTGGCTTCGCCAGTTAACTGATATCTGTACGCTCACATTGTCGTCCCGGAGGTTCGCTAAAATACACCTGCAAATCAGCACTTACGAGTGCATGGTCAGTGTTCACACATGTGCACCAAATCGAGCGATAGTTTTGAACGCAGACTCTCTAGTGGTAACTGATCGCGATGTGATCGATTTGCCTCCATGTCTGGTTCGAAGCTGGTGGGCGCCATATCATTTTTCGAAGTGTGCTGTATCGGGAGCTGGTGCTCCCAAAAAGTAAGCGAGCATCTTCACACAAATGAAGTAACCGTTCACCGTTATCATTACCTGAGCCGACCCCATGTTGTCTGCCCAGATGCAGTTTACAAGTGGACAATTTCCAACTTGAGCGTTTAGATCCCCAGCTAACACTACAGCGTCCGTGGTTCTTTTGTGGCGAAGGAGCTCGTTCATTTGGCAATAGGAGTCGTTTTTTACCGAATTATCGCTACAGTTTGTGGGCGCCTAGGCATCGATCTCGAACAGACACGTTAGTCCCGCGCGACTTCGATACTTTGAACGATCCAGCCAATCGGACCGCATACATCTGGCTACTGTTTGGGATCCAATCAATCAGAGCAGCTTCAGCCCGGGGACTCAGAGCACTACCAACACCGACTTCGCCGGTACTCGAAGCTACATCGTCACTGGATAGGTGCAACGAGAAAGCATCGCTGTTGTCACCTGAAAGGGCTCCCAGAGCTAGTACCGAGCTCGATTCTTGCAGGTGGGTTTCCTATAAGCAGCAGATATGGATTGAGAGGGTCTCTAATATTCGGGCAAGTGCTTCCTCTTGATCGATCTGTAACAATATGCGTACATTGAGGCATGCCAATCTGAGGGAGGATCGTGGGCTCCAAATGGAAGTCGATGAACTGGGTTTGTCCGCTTAATTGGACACGGCTTTATCGACAGGACAGAAGTGACGCTTTGCGTATGCATGTGCGTTGAAACTAGGAGGTAAAAGCCTATCAAAGCAATTGGTGGAGGGCCAAGCATTGTGGGTTTAAAATGGGGGATTAAAAGTGAAGTTGGTATGGGACGATAAGGGTGAAAAAGCGTAAGAGGGGGAATAGGAAGATGGGACGGCTTGAGCAGTGGCATCCAAACTCCTATCCACCCTGCTCTGTGCAGCAGACAGGGCACCGTTGATTATCCTCTGCGGTGGCCAGAGCATCAGAAATTTGTTTGAAGAGATGTTCATATGATTGCGTGGGCAGGATACTGTCAGGTTGCCCTGGCATAGACAGGCGAACGATTAGGGTTCTCAACCAAAGCTTTTGGTTCAAAAACCTGCCCGCAAGGCAGTGGGTTTGGCGTTGGGCTACAAGGAGTCCGTTTTAAGGAATAAGGAATCACTCTCACTCCAACCCACAACTTGGAGGCCCAGGAGACTGCGTTTTTCCGTCCTCTAACCATTGACCAATCTGGTATGAGTGGCTC